CTAAAACTTTTTGCCATACTTTAAAAAAAAAAAAAAACAAACTCAGAAGACCCAAATAAAAGCACAAACAAAAAAGGAAACAACCACAGAAATACAAAGAATCATTAGATATTATTATGGACTTTATGACAAGAAATTGTAATTGCTTTATTCTACATCTTAGGATTTTAGAACATGTATAGTTTGAGCTGTCCATGTAACATTAACTACTTGTACATGGTGTATTTTCCCATTTTATGTGTTATGTTTATTTATGTATCTTTAAAGAGCATAGAATATTTTGAAACATAGAACACTATCAACAGTTTTTCATGATTTCTTCTACTACTTCAAAATAAGCAAGTTATCACATAGCTTGATAAATATTGTAATTTCAGCTGTTTTCTCATAAAATTTACATTTCTGTTAAATGGCTTCTATATCAATCTGGAGTTTCTTATTCTTGTGAGAATAAAGGAATCATTCTTTTCAGGTTCCTCCTCAAATCTTCTCTCCTGTAGCATTAACATGCCTCGTGCCTTGAATCGTTCCTTGTGTAAGTCAGTTTACCATGTAATTTGCTGTAAGCTTCAACATTTGAAATAAAAACTTCAGTCATAAACTCCCAATGAAAGTAGAGTGTGATCATGCTTCATCTCGGTTTGAGATATTGTACTTCTAGTCATTTAGAAAATGTCCATTTACATTTTAAAGTCTTTTATTGTCAATTGTTGGTTCTGAACAATACCTAAATTGAAGTGATGTTGGGGAAAAGTTGAAGTCTTAGCAACTGATTTATTGGATTCAGCATAAGGACTCATCTCTGATATTTTTTTTTGTCTTGCCCAAATTCCTATCTAAGGGGTCTGGTGAGTCACAAATTCTCACAAACCATAAATTCTCATCAGAATGAGTTTTATTTAACCCTGTATATCATGACTTACTTTCCAATCTGACTCTGGCATAACAAAGAAAAAAATCAAAATATTTTACCACAAACACATTTCTCTGCCGTATCTTGAAATGGCCCTGCAAAGCTAAGCTTTGTGGGGGAAAATCTGCGTCTGTAAAGAATCTCCATTGACATAGCTAGATCTTTTTCTTCCAGGCCCTCCCAATCCTGAAGAGATTAAGATATTAAGTCTAGTACCTTTTAAAGATCTAAATAGGGGGCCAGGCGTGGTGGCTCATGCCTGTAATCCTAGCACTTTGGGAGCCTGAGGTGGGTGGGGCTCATAAGGTCAGAAGTTTGAGACCAGCCTGGCCAACATGGTGAAACCCTGTCTCTACTGAAAATAGAAAAATTAGCTGGGTTTAGTGATGCACTCCTGTAATCCCAGCTACTCAGGAGGCTGAGGCAGGAGAATTGTTGACAGAGCAAGACTCTGTCTCCAAACAAACAAACAAATATCTAAATAGGAAACATTTGTCATCTACTGTCTTATCTAAGGGCAGCCACTGTAAGACTTCAAAAGGACCTTGGTCTCTCGGTCTCCACAATCTTTTATCCTAACTTGAACATTTCCTTGAGATAGAGTCTCATTCTGTCACCCAGGCTGGAGTGCAGTGGCGCGATCTTGGCTTACTACAGCCTCCACTTCCCTAGTTCAGGCAATTCTCATCTCACTCTATCACCTAGGCTGGAGTGCAGTGTCACGATCTTGGCTCACTACAACCTCCACATCCCGAGTTCAAGCAATTCTCCTGTCTCGGTCTCCCAAGTAGCTGGGACTACAGGTGCACACCACCATGCCGGGCTAATTTTTGTATTTTTAGTAGAGATGAGGTTTTGTTGGTCAGGCTGGTCTCAAACTCCTGACCTGAGGTGACCCGCCTCTTCGGCCTCCCAAAGTGCTGGGATTATAGGCATGAGCCATCGTGCCCGGCCTGAACATTTCCTTTCTATCGATCCCAGGTCTTCAGACAAACCCAACCAATTGTCAACCAGAAAATGCTTAAGTTTACCTACAGCCTGGAAGCCCCTGCTTTGCGTTGCCCCACCTTTCGGAACCAAACTAATGTATTTCTTAAATGTATTTGATTGATGTCTCATGCCTCCTTAAAATATATAAAACCAACCTGTACCCCAACCACCTTGGGCACAAGATCTCAGAACCTCCTGAGGGCTTTGTCACGGGCCATGGTCACTCATATTTGGCTCAAAATAAATCTCTAAAAATATTTTAGAGTTTGACTCCTTTTGTCAATAAGCACAAAAGACATTGAAGGTATTTTGACATCTTCATATGAAAATATAGTGCATTTTAAAATTCACATCCTTTATCAAGAATTTTGTTAGTATGCCTATGAAGTCTCCATAGGTAGAAACAATATTGAATAGGGTAGACCTCTCTAGTTCATGATTAAACACTTTCTTTCTTACTAGCAATGGTTATAATTATTTTTAATCATTTATAAACTTATCTTAATTTTGCTGATATTCAAAGCTTAAACTTGAGGTTTTTATGGTAAATCATCTTAAATGTCTTGCTATCCTTCAGATGTACTGTTTTCCATATTTCCATTTGTTACAGTATCAGAAATGTAAGAATGTAGTTACTTACAGAGTTGGTATTGAAACCTAGAATTAATCCAATCATATTGGCATTAATCTAGGCAACTGTCAATAAATCAAAAAGATGGGGAAAATGAGTGGCAGTCACATATTCTGGATATTGTAGAGACAGACCTGAGTCAGTTATTTGGAAATTTGTTGTAGTTATATTAAAAATAACCAAATAAATTTGCAAAGAATCACTTAAGTTGTGCATAAAGAGGCAAATTGAATTTTTCTTTATGTATGGTTTTAGTTATATACATTACATTTAGTTATATACATTACATTTTATTTTCTGTGATTATTTAAAATAGTCTTACAAGTGTTAAGGCTATAATTTCTGAATATGTCAAGTTTCAGGATACCATATTTTAGCCACAGATATCTGATTGACTAAATTATTTTGTACTACATAATTTGAATCTCAGTATATTAAGACTGTAAGTAATGATTTTATTAGATGGATGTTAGTAGAACTCGGACTCTAGGAGACATAGGCTTTAACTAAACATGAAATCAATATGAATACCTTGGCTCAAATGACTAATCGATCAGTCAATCAGGACAAAAAGCAGTCAAATTAATTTTGTTTGAATTTACTAGAATATTTTTATTAAAAAAAGATTATTTAGTCAAATTAATTGACCATTTGATGTGAAAGAGTATTTTGTGAATAAAATTGTTTTTGAAAATCTGTTTTACAGGTAGATAAAATGAAATTTAATCACTCAATAGATCTAATAAGTATTTGTTCATTTATTTAATCTAATAACAAATATTTGTGATGTTTCAAAGAATTTCTATCTCCAATTGTTATAGAGTCAGTTAAAGGCCATGTATATTAATGTGCAAAATATAACAACACTTACAGGATGATGCAGGATGTGATCTATTATTTCAAATTATGTCTACTCATGAATAAATTACAAACAATTTCATTAGAAGGACTCTTGAGAGCCTGGATTTTGGACTGATTATTATTATTATTTTTGAGACGGAGTTTCGCTCTTGTTGCCCAGGCTGGAGTACAACGGTGCGATCTTGGCTCACCACAACCTCCGCTTCCCAGATTCAAGTGGTTCGCCTGCCTCAGCCTTCCCGAGTAGCTGGGATTACAGGCAGGCACCACCACTCCCGGCTAATTTTGTGTTTTTAGTAGAGACAGGGTTTCTCCATGTTGGTCAGGCTGGTCCTGAGCTCCCAGCCTCAGGTCATCCGCCCGCCTCAGCCTCCCAAAATTCTGGGATTACAGGCATGAGCCACGGCTCTGACTATTTTAACAGTCTTGCGATATACTATAAAGTTGTTACAATGCTTTATGGAACCTGTACTGTAAGAACTGAACTAAATTCATCCTGAGCCAGGCAATGTTACTAAATCATGTAAGACTTTGCCAGCGCACTGCCTACAATGTCAGGATCAGACACGATGTTGTAGAGAAGATTAATTTAAACTAAATACAAAAAATATGTAGATGAAAAATAACTATTACAGAGAGATTTCAATAAAATTTTATGCTGGAACTTAATTAGATGATAAAAATATGGTGACTGAAGTGCTCTGTCCATGAGAAGAGATGAATAGAATCACAACTTGAACTCTTCAATGGTTTAGGGAAAAGATTTCTCCAGGACGAGAAACCTCATAGCAAATGGGTGAAGATAGAGGCCCAAGACCGACTTCCTTCTTTGATTTTACGCTGCACTTACAAAATTTCAAAAATTTCAGATTGTCTATACATCTGCACAGATAGAAATCCTCAGGGACTAAAAGATTTTAAAAACGAGTAGTCAGAAATGACTAAAAAACAACTCCAACGCTTATACATACCATAGTGTATGCAAGATCTAGAGAGTGGGCTCTTCTCGCCCTTCTGATTTTAGAAAATGTATAACTTAATTATCCAGCAGCATTGTTGGTTGCTCTCCAGATAATTTTTTTTGTTTGAGACGGAGTCTCACTTTGTAGTCCGGGCTGGAGTGCAGTGGCACCATCTCAGCTCACTGCAAGCTCCGCCTCCCGGGTTCACGCTATTCTCCTGACTCAGCCTCCGAGTAGCTGGGACTACAGGCTCCCACCACCGCGCCCGGCTAATTTTTTTTGTAATTTTAGTAGAGACGGGGTTTCACCGTGTTAGCCAGGATGGTCTCCATCTCCTGACCTCATGATCCGCCCGCCTCAGCTTCCCAAAGTGCTGGAATTACAGGCGTGAGTCACCGTGCCCGGCTCTCCAGATAATTTTTAAGAATGAAAATACTGATATGCCAATATTTCATATGTGTAGAAAACTGTTAGTTGTTTCCTAACATTTTTCTGTCTTCCATAATGGAATGATTGTATCTGAACATACGACTGCCCAGCTAGAGGTAATATTTCCCAACGCTCCTTGCACCTGGGCATGCTAATATGACTAAATTCAAAACAATGGAATGTTGAGTTTAATGGTAACTTACTCCTCACTTACTTAAGATGAAATCGATGCCATCCATTTGATGTCTTCTTCTTTCGTGGGTGAACAGACACGCACACGACCTTTCAAGGGTGGAGAATTGTGGAGGGAGGACTGGGTCTTCACACCTTCTACAGCAGGTCTACTTCACCAGCTCTGACTGGCTGGACTATCAACTGAAAAAAAAAAAAAAAAATCCAGTTTTATAATACTAAGTTGTAAAAGCAACTTAGCCTTTATTCTAAGGAATACAACCATCCTCATCCTGTATAAGTCTGTGAAATTCTTAATGGAAAGAACCATGATTTATTTACCTGGTCCAGGGCCTGGTTCATAGTAGCTTTCAAAAACTACACATTTGTATTGAATAGGTGAGAGCCTTCTGAAAGGTTACTCAGTTGTTTTTCGTTTTTGTTTTCTCAGTCTACCTCAGTATCACATCAAGAAAAAAAGGACTTAACATACAATTTGAGGGTAGTAATCATTTTGTTGCTTTCCAGGCTAAATGCCAATTATTTTAACCTTTTCTTGTAAGACTTACTTTTCAGCCCTTTAATCATTATGTCACTGTCACTTCCTCTGGATGCTGCCTAATTTCTCAGCATTTCTTTAAAATGTAATGATCAAATATGCACATATACTGTATAAGAGTTAAGTAATGCAAATTAGGATGGAAGAATTATGTTCCAACCCCTACATGTAATACTAAGGCATATTTAACTTAATAGCCTGGTTAATATGGTTAGCTGTTAACTCCAGAACCACAGTAATAATCACATATACCTAATGATTTACAAAAATGTTCTACTCTAGTTATTTCTTTGCTACTGTATAGCTGTTAACTCCAGAACCACAGTAATAATCACATTTACCTAATGATTTACAAAAATGTTCTACTCTAGTTATTTCTTTGCTACTGTATAGCTGTTAACTCCAGAACCACAGTAATAATCACATTTACCTAATGATTTACAAAAATGTTCTACTCTAGTTATTTCTTTGCTACTGTATAGCTGTTAACTCCAGAACCACAGTAATAATCACATTTACCTAATGATTTACAAAAATGCTCTACTCTAGTTATTTCTTTGCTATTGTAAATTACCAACTTTATTATTAAGACTTATTTGTTGATATTTCTACTCCTTTTGAATCCATTATGTTTTTATGGGACTCTATCATTTTTGTTTACAAATAAAATTATTAATTTTGATTCATTTAATTAGGTAATCAATGAAAATATCAAATAAAATAGAAATGAGTTCTGCAAACTATCACCTGAATTGCCACTCAGGTTGGTCTAGAATCACTGATAATGACTGATACCTGATCTTGCTGAGTATCAACATGTAAATCACTTTTGGGATCAAATGTAACTTCATATAGTAAAACTTTATCAAATTGGGCTTTTTTCACCCAATAAAATGTCTAGGAAGGGAATAAGGAAATAAATCAAGATTGGAGTATCCCCTTCACAAGGCCAGACTCCTGTCTGTTTTTGTTTTCCTCTGTCATCTTTAGCGTGGGTCTGTCATCCTAATGGTTTTTAGATAGCTGCCATGAACACAGAAAAGGGTAAAAGGGACATATCAGTATGACTACCATTTTTTTTGTTGTTGGGGGGGAAGGAGTCTCGCTCTGTCGCCCAGGCTGGAGTGCAGTGGCGCGATCTCGGCTCACTGCAAGCTCCGCCTCTCAGGTTTACGCCATTCTCCTACCTCAGCCTTCCAAGTAGCTGGGACTACAGGCGCCCGCCACCACGCCCGGCTAATTTTTTGTATTTTTTTAGTAGAGACGGGGTTTCACCCTGTTAGCCAGGATGGGTCTCGATCTCCTGACCTCATGATCCGCCCGTCTCGGCCTCCCAAAGTGCTGGGATTACAGGCTTGAACCACCGCGCCTGGCCATGACTACCATTTTTAATCGGGATAATGGAGATTTTTCCCATAAGCCCCCCATCACCAGTAGATGTCTGCTACCCATGTCACATGGCTACTCATCACTAAAAAGGAGTCCCAGAAGGCAAATACTTGAACTAGGAACAGGGCCACCTAGAACACATTTGGAATATGTTAGTAAAAAAGAGGGAGACATTAACTGTGAGTGGACAGTTTACCATATCTGCTATGTCTTATGCTGGCAGAATCCAGATTATAATTCCTACATTATAGACAAGTATTTGCTAATGGGTAGAAAAAAATGAAATCGATAATTATCTCTTCTCATTATTTGGCATATGTTTTCACTAAAAACACTATAACAGTGTTCTAGATTGTAGTGTGATAAATGTTTGCTGATATATTTAATATTTACATAGAGCCATAAACTCTGAAATTCCTGGTTTTATTCTTTATGAAAAAAGACAGTATTTTCCTTTAATCAGCCCTCTGGGGATACGAGGAGCTTGATGCCAAGAGACACTGAGAAACACAAATGTTTTTAAACTGTCAAGGCCTCCACTCCAAAAAAATATTTTTTTCAAGGTTCCCATCCCTCTCTCCTCAGTGAGAAATTGTTGAGGAGAGGATGGATGTAGATTTGTTGAGTTTTCAATCAGTTGTGTCTATTTAGATAGGCTAGAAATGCCGATTTTGATGCCGAGCACTTTCAGTATGAGACTATTAGAGATTATCTATATATGAATGAGAGAGAGAGACAGGGAGGGAGAGACAGGGAGGGAGAGAAAGGGAGGGAGAGAAAGGGAGGGAGAGAAAGGGAGGGAGAGAAAGGGAGGGAGAGAAAAGGAGGGAGAGAAAGGGAGGGAGAGAAAGGGAGGGAGAGAAAGGGAGGGAGAGAAAGGGAGGGAGGGACAGAGAGAGAACAAACAGATAGGTACCACACAGGAATTTTTGAAGAGAGAACAATACAATTTGATGGTGAATATTTTCTATCTTTTGGTGTGGCTATTCAAACTGTTCTGTAATCTAGTGGTTTAAGAGGCAATTTCAATATCTCCTGCACAGTTTTGATTCAGGAGTCCTTTGACAATTTAATAACACGTAAGAAGTGTAAGAACATTCTGGCCGTGTGGCAGGTATAGTGGGAAAAAGTCCTTGCTTTGAGATTAGACATGCCTGGGATTGAATTCTGTATTTCCTATTATTAGATGACACTCACTAAGTCATTAAATCACTCAGTCCCTGCTTCCTTTTCTGGGAATTGGAGTTTTGATATTCTTTTACAGGATAGGAATTACAATGGTCCTTCTCCATTATTTTCAAACCTCACACTCTACCACAATGATTTATCGGAACTAGGATTTAACAGCAATTATTTCCAACTTTAGCAAAACTTTACCGCATAGAATTTAGTAAAAGACATCCTTGACATGATTTGCAACCCGGAAAATTGACAATCTTTAGGAATGGTACATAAAAGCTATTATTTTCCATGGTGCTCATCTCTAGAATTATAGATCTGTAGGTACATAGTGGCTTTTGTCATTTTTGAAAGTGTATTGAATGTTTTGCTAAATTTGGTGTACTAAATGTTGAAATGCTGACAGTTAAAAAGATACAAATTGTAATTTCACCTACTCATTGTACTTTCATTGTAAACTCTTTGCCTCACTGATTTGTTTCTGTCTTCTATTTTGCCCCTTTATTTACCATGTACTTTCAGCTCTTAACTGCCTCTGGTTTTATGATATAAGCTTCTACACTACAGTATTTGCAAAGCTTAATGATTAAGTTATTTCAAAATTCTGCAATGTTTCTATTATAAGGATGGCATCCTTTATTCACATTATCTGGTGGATAATTTTTAAGGTTTTCAGTTCATATTTCACCACAAAAACATTGATGTCATTGTTAAAAATACAACTGCCCAATAGTGTTCCTCAGTTTGTATGGATCATACATAGTTTTGCACTCAGTTATTTAATATACACCTGTACTGAAACCCTAGGATGTACTTGATATACCTATTTCTTTCATTTTTTATTAATATATATTGATGTATGTGTTTTGGGGTGCATGTGATAACTTGATACATTCAAATATGTGCAAAGATCAAATCAGAGTGATTGGGATATTCATCACCTTAAATATTTATCTTTTCTTTATGCTAGGAGCATTCAAATTGTTCTCTCCTATTTTTTAAGTGTAGAATAGATATTAACTAGAGTCACCCTACTCATCTCTCAAATACTAGGTCTTGTTTTTTTCCATAACCTCGTTAATTGACCTTTATTTATACCCTCACTTACCCTTCCTGTTCTCTGGTAACCAAAATCCACTATCTTCATGAGATCCACTCTTTTAGCCAACATATTAAATGAGAACATGCTGTGTTTGGCTATGATCATTTAGCATAAATAACCTCTAGTTCCATCCATGTTGCTGAAAATGACAGAATTTTATTCTTTTTTAGTGGCTGAGTAATATTCTATTCTCATTCTCTCTGTGTGTGTATGTGTCTGTCTCTCTCCCTCTCTCTGTGTGTGTGTGTGTGTGTGTGTGTGTGTGTGTGTGTGTTTGTGTATCACATTTGCTTTGTCCATTTATCCACTGGTGAGCATCTAGGTTGATTCCCTAGCGTGGCTATTGTGAATAGGGCTGTCATAAACATAGGAATTCAGATATTTCTTTGATGTATTGATTTCCCTTCTTTTGGTCGCATACTTGTAGTGGAATTGCTGGATCATGTGGCAGTCCTATTTTTAGTTTTGTAAGGAAATTCTTTACTGTTTTTCATGGTGGCTGTACTTACTTACATTCCCACTAACAACGTAATGAGGGTTCTCCTTTCTCAACAACCTTGCCAGCATCTGCTATTCCCTTTTTGATAAAAGCTGTTCTAACTGGAGTGAGCTATCTCACATTGTGATTTTAATTTGTATTTCTCTGATAATCAGTAATGTCGAGCATCTTATTATATATCTATTAGCCATTTGTATGTCTTTTTTAAATGTCTTTTTAAATCTTTTGCTCATTTAAAAATCAGATTGTTTCTTGGCTATTTAGTTGTTTGTGTTCTTATACATTCTCATAAATTTCTTGCCAGATGGATATATACACAAACTTTTTTTTTCTCCCATTCTGTGGGTTGTCTCTTCATTCTGTTAATTGTTTCCTTTTCCATGCAGAGGGTTTTTCACTTGATTCAATTCCATTTTGTTTTTTATTGTTGCATTTGTTGCCTATGCTTTTATGGTCTTACACAAAAAACATCTTTG